TTAAACAGCTCTAATTTGTACCAAGTTTTCCTCCTTATTTTTCCTGATTCACCAGCAATCAGGTGTAAAGCATAATTTAATAGGGATAAGACAAAGATGTCCTAGTGAGATGGGGATCTCGGGAGTTTTGACATCAGGAGGTGCAAACATTCATTGTCTTCCCACACTTGTGCAGCCATATCTTTATATTCTCATACACAGGAGGGACTAGTTTCCCTTGAAGTATTAATTATCCCAAAAGAGAATGTAGAAAAATCAAAGCAACTCTAGCTTTCTGCAGTATGTGCCAAATCATTTATCTTTGTTGAAAATTACTATCTTTTTTACGGGTCAGCTTTAAACTGCGAGTTCCCACCTGACTGCAGAAAGCAGTTTCAGGATAAATAATTGGAAGAATTTTAGAATGCAATCCACTAGAAGTTTACTTTAGACAATTATTTTTTCTAAAGAGATGTTAATAACTCTTTTGTAGTTTTTTTTTTGTGCAGTGCTTACTGTAGATTGCACGTAAGAAATAGTAATAACCACTATAAGCGATAGCATAAACTAACTTTTAGGCTCCACAAGAGTCATACTGAACAAGAGCTGGTCATAACTATATTTTTAATTACATTCACTTTTTAATTACCATTTAATCAAGAAAATGTCTTTTATAGTAGTGCCTACATCCTCTTAAGCAACCAGGGTAACTTTTTTTATATACAAGCTTACCAAAGAGGTCACAGCAAAAGTAAGCCATTAAGTTATCATAGATAAGTCTGGAAGTAATTACGAAAAGCCAAACAAATCCTGACAGATGAGTTAAACAAATCAAAGTTCATTGTTAGAAGAACTAGAGCCTGACCCAGTAACCCTGTGTGTTTGTTCCTCAGATTCCATGAGAAGAGAAAAAGAGGTCCTCAGAAATCCAAGATAAGAAAGATTAGTATTAAACATGTTTATTAGCCTGGCAGTCTTTCATGACCAAGGAGACCCAGACCTCATTGTAGCAGATATTGTAGAGGCACAGAACAGCAAGTATAGTGCCATTGTTAGAAAGTCACACAACTAGTTTACCTTAAATTTATCCAAACTAGAAATTAACTGTTAAAAAAAGACAACTTTTTAAAACTTCATTAGAATAACTAAAAAAATTCTTTACACTGAAATTTAGAAGCAATTCCAAAATTATTCTTGTGGGTCCCTTCTAACACAAAATATTCTGTGATTTTGTGATTGCTCCATTTCTTGTCAGACTGGATTTGGGTATAGACTGCGTTTGAGGGGTGTGGGCTTTTTGTTTACTTTTAAGACGTTTTAGAATTTTATTTACACTTCAGAAAATGTATGTATTTAAGAAGGCCATCTTTCCCTTTTTTTTTTTTTTTTTTCAGATTGCTTGTATTTGTAGCAGGAAAATCATTTTATGATGCCTACCATGTGAAAATGTGATATTTGAGGAGCCAGCTTTACTAGCTTTCATAATACCATGATCACCCTTCATCAGTGCTTATGGAAGACCAGAAGACATATACTAAAGGACTAATAAAACTCAGAGTTTCTTATTATGAGACCAAATTAAAGCCACTATTCAAAATCTGCTGTTTAATTGAGCTAGAAATTAGGAATCAAACCTTTACCTGATTTAAATCAGTGAAACAACTCCTAAAATCTGTCTGGGATGAAGGTCTGCTTTTTGCATTTTTAAACTTCCCTTTGCACAAGGTACAAGCAGTAAGAATGCACCTCAGTGCAGTGCCTGTGTTACTAATATAAGCACAAGCTTTTTTGTAGGATTATGTTCAATTTTATCTCTTGGCTTAGAGATGAAACAAGATAGATACTCCAGACACATAAGGAACCAATAGCACCGAAATGTAAGTAGTCTCTGTAGCAATTGAAAATTATTTCCATTGAGTGAACTCACAAATGTTCAGAAAACCTTTACAAAACAATTGCATTGAAGAGTACTATAGGTTTTAGTTCATTGAGTTCAATAGGTTGATTCCAAGAAGTAAGTATCAAATGATGGAAGACTTTCTGTCCAAGGACATTAGATTTTAAAAAATAAAACTGACATATTCGAAATTTTGTACACCAGATGGCAATGTATTCCTAAAAATGGCTGAATGAACTGTTTCATGGGGATCGTTAGATCTTTGCTTATTGCCGAGTATTTAAGTTGTCACTTGAAATAAGACTAATCCAGAAGACATTGATCCAACTGCTCAAATGAGCAGATTCCCCTTGACTTTCCAGCTGATACTCTCAGCAAAGACATTTCTGAAGGTTGGGGTTTCCACTTGCTCTTTTAAAGGACAATTTTTACTATTATATGCTCCAATTGCTTAAGTTGAGATTTCAGGTTTATATGTTGTATTGTAGACACTTTTTTATTTGAGAATTTCTAAAGCAGTCTAATGAAAAAGGATTTTCAGAACAAAAAGTTGTAGTAAAAGCATTAATGTTCAGCTGCAAGTCAGCAAGTCTACAGGGGTCATCTGATAATATTCAGCCTTGTACTAAACCTCCTCATTTCTAAAAAATTGTCAAAGAAAGGTGCCCAGCAATATTCAATAGAAGAAGAGGTCAAGGCATATGTGAAACCCTAAAAATTGCCTTCTATGTAAAAAAAATTTAAAATCTTGAATGTATTTCTTAGATTTTTCTTCTCAAATGTAACACAGTTACCAGCTAAAGCACACTGGCATAAACTTTGTGTGGTGACAATCCTGTATAGAGAGGTTTAACCCTAAAAAACAAATTAGGTATTTGATAGACTACTATAATAATTAAAACTGTTTCTTACAGAAATTCCTTTCTTCATCTCCATGCATTGAATTGTCTTTACCATTGTTCTTCCTATGGCGAAAAAAACTGAAGTGAGACTTCAACATGGGGATGAGAACTACATCATTCCCCTCGAAGACAAATCCAAACAAACGTTTGTTCCAGCAACTGAAGTTTCACCATCTCCAGACACCAGCATTTCCTTTACAGTTCATGTGATCTTTGTCTCTCAGTAGAAGGGACTTAATGTGTCATCAGATAATGAGTGTGGATCCAAGCTTTTTTTTCCACAGTCTTGATCAAATCTCAGTTTTCCACAGTAATGGCTGGGGAACTCCCTGATGGTCTTTTCCAAGGGCCTCATATTAGTCAGGCAGCTGGAAGCCTGTTTTAATTCTGCTTATCACAGGATTTTCACTGTTTCCCTGAAATTACAAGTTCCTGTCTTTCACCTTTCAGCAGTTCCACCCAGCAAGACCATAGCTCCACTTGCCACAGATGTGTATTGTGTCCCGTATCAGAGTCCCAATTCAGGAGAAAACAAAAATCCTGCTTTTTCCTTAGGGGTTCACTGCTCATCCTGTGTCTCAGGTGTTATCCTGATTCATAGCACATTCCACGCTTTCACTGAAGAATTGCAGGTCTCATTCGCTTCCTAATTTTTACCATAGGTATGGGCTTTACTTCTGCTTGCTGAGGGATGCATTCCTTTCTCATTATTTCAGGTCCACCTGAACAAACACCTATTCTAAAAAGAAAGCCTTTGTAGGGCACTTCATCCAAAAATTCTTCATCAGCTTATGAATGCAATGGAAAATTGCAGGCCATGTTTATTTGTCTTAACTTTTGAAACCAAAATCATGCTTGTGTGCATGAAGCTAGGAGCAGAGCATCTCTCTCTGGGCTCTGTGGAACAGAAATAGAAAAGGTGGTCTAAGGCTCTTAAAGATTTTAGGTGATATGAATTTTCTCCTGAAACAGTTTTACTAATAATCAGTATCTGTCTTATATCTAAGAGTGTAAACTTATCTCTTTTCCAAAGTCCCTGAGAAATATATCTAACCTGAAAGTATATAGAGAAAAAAAAAAATCAGGTAGCTAAATCTATTGCAGAGTTGTGAACTTTTCACCCACTTGGAGAATCATACAATGAACAAACATCCACCCAGCAAAAAAAAGAAAATAAAAATCTCACCAGCAACTGAAGTGCTCAGCTATTTGGAGTTGCTTTGAAAGTGTTTAAATACATGAAATACAAGCTGTATGTGCCTATTGGGTCTGGCTGAGAGAGATTTCATTTCCCCATAGCAGCCCTCACAGTGCTGTGCTTTGCATTGGTAGCTGAAAGGGTGTCAATAACACATCGGTGTTTTGGCTACTGCTGAGCACAGCACCAGCACTGTAACATTCCTTCCTCAGTCGAGGGCAAGATCCTGGGAGGGGACACATACTGACCCAAACTGACCAAAGCTCAGATATAAAAGCTAAGGCAAGGGTAGGAAGGCAGGCATTCATTGCCTCCAGTGGCTGCCTGCTAAGGAACCATTACATGTGCTGAAGCCCTGCTGCTCGGGAGTAGCTGGCCATTGCTGGTGATGGAAAGTAGAGAATAAACCTTGTTATTTTTTGCTTCATTTTGCACGTGCAAGTTTTTTCTTTGTTTTTGTTTTAATAAACTTCCTTATCCCAACCCATGAGTTTTTTCCACTTTACTCTCTTCCGTCTGGCTGGGAAGGGGAGTGGTAGAGCGGCTGGGTGGGCACCTGGCGTCCAGACAAGGTGAACCCACCACACAATGTTATGGTTTTGATTCAGTGGCTGATGTCTCCCCGCATCAGTACACGTAGAGATGTGTATAACACCACTTTTGAGTATTTCCCCATTTTTTTCTGGGGTTTTGTTTTCCAGGTTGCCCACACTGTTTACAAGCTATCTTGCTCCTGACATGCTTTCACATACTGACCAACCAACCAACCCCTCTTGCTCCTCAGGAGCTTTGTGGCAGCGTATAGGTCAGTCTAGGGATGCTGCAACAGATTACATGGGTGGGATCTCAGCAGTTCTTTCTGCATGAAATAGTTCTAGGTCATGTGAACCTACAAAAAATAAAATAACAGTAGAAACAATTCTGCTAAGAATTAAAAGGTACCTTTCAAAATGTATTAGGTACCCTTCAAATGTAATCATTTTGAGACTAATCTAAATCAGGATTGATTACATCTTCAAACTCATCTTCCTTTCAGAAGTAGTCCATTACAAGAGTAAGATGCCAGGAACTACTGTTAATGTCATGATGAACCTCTCTCAAGTCATGACACAGTTGTAGAAGGAGCAGCTTAGGAAAAACAAACAAACAAACAAACAAGAACACATCCTTTTAAAACGAAAAGCTATGCACAAAGACATCCACTATTTAAAATCAAAACAAATCCTTCCAGGCCCCCAAGCAAAAACTTACATTTTCATAAACATGCTCGTTTTCCTCCATTTTTTTGTATATATTAACCAACATGGTATTTTATTCTTACTGTTTCTCTCTCAAAATATCACTCTCTGTTATTAAAAAATTGGGCTCTGAAACTGAGTTGCATGGGATGTCATCTCAGTTATGCTAATGCAAGTGCTCATTCCTCCTGCTTACTTTGGACAATAAACAAATAACTGGGTTTCACTGATATGAAGAAATATATCTTACAATTATTGGTATAAAAATGCATTTACGAAATAAATTGTATGTGCCTGGACAGTGGAAACTACATACTGGTTTCAGCTAATGTATACATATGTTGTCCATATGGCTACAGGTTTTAAGCCGGTCCTGAACACTCACAAATATTTTCCAATAAATCCTCTCTGTTCTTCCTAATACAGGTTTTTTATTATTATTATTTTCATTTAAAAGCTAGATATTTTGAAAGTGCCAATTATACATATTTAAGTACTATACTGCACCCTACTGTGAGTTGTAGTTCACCTATCCTGATTCCTCTGATCACTGTGTTTTAAAGAAGATTTCTAAGCACAGTTCTAGAGCCCCTGGTACAAGCCAAGCTGTAAACAACTCTCTCATTGCTGGATATTTTACCAACATGAAAATTCCTAGCCTCCTCTAAAGGCAAAGCAGAAAACTTTTCACTGGAAATAATTTTGCATGTGAAATGTAGGTTATATGGTACTCACTGAAGTTATTGCACTCTGACCTTTTAAGTTTGCATGAATCATGGCAGTAGGTTCAAGGGCTTGAAAAACACCTAGAAGGAAGCAAAATCCTCATAGACTGAATGCTGTAAATTCCCTCTTTTCAGTTTCTATACTATTCTGAGTTCCCTTTGCACCTGCAAAAGAGTTCACAACACTTCACTGAAGTGAAACCTGCAGGGAGGAAATTCACTTTGCCAAACATCACACTAAGAGAAAGAAACAGGCACCTCCAAAGAGCAATTCTGAATAAGAGCAATGGATAATCTTTTATAGTAGTGTCTCTCTTTGGCATAGGAGTCGATTTTAAACATGTCTCTTTGAAGACCTTCCTTTCTTTTAACATTCTCTACATATGGGAAGACAGACTACTCTCTATCATAGGGAGATGTCTACAATTCGACAACACAGAATGAGCAATATGTCTCCTCCTCAAAACATATTCTACTAATATAGACTATGCTGCACTTTCATGGCTTTAGCTGAAGAGACTTTCACTGGTTAGTGGTGATATTATGAAAGTCTTTGTCAATGGAGTGTAAAGCAATATCGCATTTTCCTTTACAAATAGTGTTTCCTCATGCACATTTTGTTTCTATTGAGAGTTAAGCAGGTATTCAATTGAATGAAAAATGAAAGAGGAGAGCACATTATAGTGCAATCAAGTATATCCCTACAACAATTTAATTCTAGTCTTCAAAACCTATGTGGAAATAGCGACTATCATCTACAGTAATATTAGTTCTTGAATATTCCTCTTAAAAAATATGGAAGCATTGCTCTGCAAATGCAAGTTCAAACACTAAACATCTTGATATAACCCAAAATTAACTCACAGTGATACAGAAAAGCAAACACTGAAGACCTATTTTTATCCTAATCGTTTGGGACATTGCTGACATGAATAAGAGGATCCAGCTGCACAAAGTTTTTCCTACCTTTCAGGCACTGGTTTCTTTAGTAACATTGGGTTAGAGTTCCCTGTATCCTTATTTTGCTGGATAAGTAAAAAGCCTAAATTTTAAGCAATCAGCAATTTCATTTAAGTCACCTTATCTGGGAAAATATTTATTACCAAATAAAACATCTCTAGTAATAAAAGTATTGATCCTGCTGCTCAGGGGCATGGTTTCACAATGACATCCCTCAATGCAGCTGCTAGTTCAGAGCTCTTGGCCAAAAAAAAATGAGCCTGACACAGCAAATGCATCATGTGTGTTAGACAACTACGGTATCTGTGTTGCAAACACAAGTGTTTAGTGCATAATATATTAACTGTACATTGTTAAACACATAGCAAAGGAAACTTGCATCTAACCATGTATGGTAAATTGGAGTTTATATTTCAGTTCATTTGCAAAGTATGGGAAAAGGAAGAGCCTACAATAAACACTTGTCCACTTTGTTAAACATCATCAACAAATGATTCAGCAGTGCAACTCCTATTTAAGGGCACGTAGATGTTCACATGTGCAGTCTCTTGACAGAACAAATTCAAATAAACCAGGGGCCACTACACACTTCTCTTGTCTCCTGTCATTCTTCATACTGATGCCCACATACAACCACATTGGCCTGCTGCCGGGAACACCTATTGTCCAGGGTGTGATTGCTTCCAAGTGCAGTAAAGTAAACAGTGTTATCACTCAGCAGAGAATACACTTTGCTCATAACAAGTATTTAAGAATCAACAAGAGGAAGTACTTTTTCACACAACACGTAATTATATTTTGGAACTCATTGCCACAGGATGTTGTTAAGGCCAAAAGCATAAACGGAGTTAAAAAAGAGATTAGACAAATTCATAGAGAAAGGGTCCATCAGTGGCTATTAAAATATGATGGTCCAGATGCTGTCTCTAGCTCGTGTAATCCCTAAGCCATTGATTGCCAAAAGCTGAGGAGAGAGTAAGGGACATATAACAGCAAGACAAGGCTCAGTGCTGGTTTTATTCTTGTATAGATACTTAGTAAAAAAATAAAATAAAATAAAATAAGACATATAGTATACTCTCAATCACACCCTACCCACAAACTTGTGATCTCAAGATAACCAAAACTTAAACAAATTTAACAAAAAGCTCATGAAGTTGGAGGAAATAGGCAGATCAACAAAAGAGAGATTTTTTTTTTTTAATGCCTCCAAACCTCAGCATCAGTTCAGCTTTTACTAAATATCTACTCAAGACAAATATGTAGGAGGTTCAACTGCATTGAAACTGTTTTCATGGCTATGTGCTACTATAATTTATAAATACTGCATAACTTATTACAATTATTGCAACTGAATAAAAGCTGTAGTGAAGTATAATTAATTCTCAACATTCATCCCAGGAGAAACCCTAAGAAAAACTACCCTTGAAACAATAAGAAACAAAATTGTTTACATTTGAAAGTAAAAATTAACATTTTGCATTGCCATTCGTTTGCAGCCACATACCATAAAGTCACATCTGCACCAAATGTTCTACTCCCTCTCTTTGAACTCCTTTGAAAGGTTTCCTTGGTCTTTTTAAAGGAGTGTAAAAATGCTTCAGACAACTAATTCATGATCTGTTTCATTTCTTGTCAAGATTTCCTTCCACATTATTAAGAAAGCCTCGATATTTAGCTAAACAAAATAATCATGTTGGAAAAAAAATTAATGATTCATTTGAAAAAAAACATGCTTCTTGGCAAGAAGGAAAGGAAATTAATAGGACACAAAGGCAATAACTGAAGTACTTCCTTATAGAAACAAGCCTGCATGAATGTCAACACTAATTCCTTATAGTCAGCACACATAATATGAATTGTATTAACTCTTTGTGTGTTGTACAGTATATATGGTAGAACATTACACATCAGAACATTTGAAACAGTCGATGCTGGTTCATGACTTAACCTTTTATCCAGCAAAACATCATCTTGGAATTCCTGAGAGAGCGAGAGAGTCTATAAAAGACAGAAATAAAAATCTGTCTTGTTAGAAGTTATTGCCCTTTGGGGAAACCCTAAACCTGAACACAAAGCGTCAGTATAGGAAGACTACAATGCTTGGCTGGGAAACAAGCAATGCCTATGGGATTGCTTTCTTGGATTGACTCTGCCTCCAGCATATTTATTTCTGAATCTCAACATTTCTAGCCAATAATGGTCCAAACCCACAATTTCATCTTTTAATATTACATCAGAAGCATTTTATATACTGTCCAATTTACTTTATAAATAGAAATAAATCAACAAGAGCCCCTGAAGACCAAACTTATTACAAATGGTGCAATTCTAAAACTTTTGCTTGTAGTCTCACTGAGTTCAATAAGGCAGTTAAATATGTTTAAGTGTGAAAGCTCAGAACACCCTGGAGAAAATGAAAAGTGGATAATTGTTTCTAACATATCATTTACATGTTTTGAGCTATTCCCAGTTGTCCACATGGAAGTCACTAATTCATGCCTTCAGACACAGAGAGGTAAGGAGACTGGATAATACCCTGACATTCGTGGAATACAGAGCACTAAGACTTGTTTGAGATAGCAAATATTTAAATTACCTTTATGAAGTAATGAATATTACTTCTGCAATTTGTCAATAGAAAGGAAAATCTTTCAGTGCAAATGTAATACTGAAACAATTTAAGGAAAATAACTGCTCCAGTGCCTAGAGGGCTCAGTTAGTGTATCACTGCCCATGCATGAGGCACGGTCTCGTGCCAGTATGAGCTCCCTTGCCCTTCTATGCTGCAAAGCTTCCATCCCCACCCAGCTGGTTAGAAGGAAATACTTGACTAAACCTCAAGTCCATTCACTCCTTAATGATCAGCATGGCACTACTTAGGGGAAACCACATGCCACTGAGATAAATATCTGCTAAGATACTTCCATATCATTTTACATTGATTTCAAAAGAATCTCTAGCTAAAGTAAAGGCGTATTAATTTCCACTTCTCAAGCAATCATATAATTGCCTGATGGAAGCCCATTGGAGTCTACTGGAGTCTTTCCAACTGCTTTAATATGTCTGGGGATGAAATATATCAGCTGAACTGACTAGGTAGTGACACTGGGGCAGATTGCCTAGGACTCCAGATGAGCTTCCCGTGAGTTCCCCACAGCACTTCCCCCTAACAGTTCTCTGATTAGGAAACAGCAACTACACTATGCTGACTTTGGATAAGGCAATAAGGCTGTGACTACTGTGTGTACACTGTGAATTGAAGGCTTCCTTATGATAACTGTTTGAATGATTGATGCTAAATTATTTTGCAGGAGCTTAGGTTAATAGTATAGATGAAGACATAGGAATAAAACATCTAAGTAAGAATGTATACCTGATTTACATCATTCTGTTTCTCAAATAAGATGTCTTTGTAAAATAAAGGAAAACATTTTCATTCTTTTTCAGTAATACAAATGATTCAATTTACTTTTCCTCACACAGGCATCCAATGCCATTTGGGATATGCAGAAATCATTCTGTGGTCTTGGAAGCAGAGGAGTGTTCTTCTTCTGGAATAAATAATGCATTTAAGATAATCTGATTCTGAATTACAAAGAACAAATATCAGAACAAAGTTTAAGTAATTAACACTATCATAATTAGGTAATCTTATCATAAATACCATTAATTTAATAGAGACATTCCTGAGCCACATACTGGAGAAAAAACTGAAGTACCGCCATCTCTACTTTTCAGCATATTAATGCTAAATCTGAAAAAGAATTTCATCAGAGGTGATTTCTCTCATACCTGGACCATATTTGGGCATACCTGGTCAAATATTAAATTTTACCCAAGTAGTCTCTGTATTCACATAAAACAGCAGATCAGGTAACACCTTCAACACTGCACCTCCAAGAAATCTTCAGTTAATTACTGAGGACTCAGTTGAGGCAAAGATATCTAATGTACAGGTCAGGTGTGAATATGTAAATTACAAGGTGAACTCATCTTCTCTAATAAGGAAAAAATTTAAATTATTAAATATTTCAGCCTGATGGACCTCTACACAAATATTCAAGCTTCTATGTACCATCTGCATCTGTAAACCTCTTTCAAAATTTTTCCATATAAGA